TTCTTAATAAAATGGAGTACTACTCAGCCATCAAAAATGAGAAATTAGAGACATTTATAGCTAAGTGGATGCACACTGAGGCAATACTCTTAAGTGAAATAAATAGCACACACATGTATAAATACCGAATAGTTTCTCTGGTGTGAGAAACTGAAAGTGTAAATAAGGACTAAAATGTATAATAGGTAATGTGAAATAGGAAGAAAAGGGGCAAAGGGGAAGGAAGTGGGAGGGCTAGGGGAAAGGATAGAAGGGAATGGGATTAATATGAGAAAGTGGAAAAATAGGAATAAAATCTTTGTAAATAGGGAGGAATGGAGGGGTTGAAGGGAGGGCTGGGCAAGGGTGAAAAATAAGAACTAAGAGAGACTATGTAAAGGTGCAAATTTCCAATGATAAATGTCATTATATTGTATACCTAAAATGTACCAATGATTAGAATGAATAATCAATAATGTAAAATAGGAAGAAAAGGTCCAAAGGGGTAGGGGTAGTGGGAGGGGCAGGGGAAAGGAAAGAAGGGAAAGGAAAAATGCTAAGAAATGGAAAAAATGGAAATAAAGTCTTTGTAAATAGGGAAAGGTGGAGGCGGTGAAGGGAGGGCTAGAAAAAAAAAAAAGAAAAGCAGTTAGTCCTTCTGATAGTAAAGATTTGCTTTACACTCTCTCTAAAGCAGGGTGCAGTCAGGTGTGGTGGCTCACACCTGTAAATCCCAGCACCGTGGGAGGGCCAGCCCAGCCCTTGCAATTTAGGAAGGCCCTATTAAAAAGAGCTGGAGATGTAGCCCAGGGTGTAGTTTCTGGGTTCAATCTTCAGTACTACAAAGAAAAAAAAAAAGAGAAGCCCTGTGTAAGAGTGATGGAAACTAGGGAGAAAGATCAATGGAAGAAATGCAGCCACATACATATGGATATTTAATACAGTATATGATTAAGGTGATTTTGAATCACCAGGAGAAAACAGGCTTTAAAACAAGTGATGTCTCTAACAATCCTATTACCATTTTGAATAAAAGATATAATTAGATCTCAACCTTACATCACACACTAGTAAAAAATCTCCAAATGAGAGAGATCTAAATGCAAAAAACAAACAAAAAGCTTAACAGTCCAAATTCTAAAAGAAAACATTGGTGAATTCCTTTATGACCTAAAAAAGGGGTAAAGTCTTTCTATGACTCAAAACCAAAAACCCGCAGTTAGACAACACCTTCTGCTGGAGGCTGTGGGAAGAACAGCTTCCCCAGCAGATGCCATTAATCTCAGTGCAAAACAATGCCACAGTGTGGTGGAGTGGATTTTTGGTAATACGTAACCAAATTAAAGATACCTTTACCCTGTGACCTGGCAAAGAATCTCTCCCAGCAACACACTTCAGCAAATATAAAACAATGTATATGCAAAGTCATTCACTGGCATTATTTGCAATTACAGAAGACTGAAAACAATCCCAATATCCCCACAGAGAACACACTGAACAATAGTGGAGCACTCCCGTCATGGGTTACTATATAGTAGCTATTCAGGAAAAAATGTTTCTCTGTATTGTCATGTAGTCAAGTTCAGGATATTATTAAATTAACAACCAAGGTAGAGAACCCTATAGATTATTACTTGTAAGAAAGAAGAGGAAATATGAAAGAATATCTATGGATAAGCACATAAATAAATGAATACATAAAGACTTACTTATATATATATGTATGTATTCATTTACTTATTTTTATATTTACATGTTTACCCCCAAAGCCACACTAGAATGACGAACTAGCAAGGAATAAAAATGGATCCTTATGGATGCTGGGAGGAGTTGGGTGGAGGACAGGGATGAAAGGGATACTTCCCTGAATGTACCTTTTATATAGTTTTGACAAATTAAAGTTTTACATATTCAAAATATTAAATTAGATTGAAAATGAAAAAGTCATTAAATCCTAAAATTTAAAGCTAAAAGTGAAATAAATGGCCCTGAATATCAAATTAGTAATGCAGCTATTCTTTTACAATGACTTCTTTTTGGGAGTGGGTGGATACTGGGGATTGATTCCAGAGAATGCTAAACTACATCTTCAGCCTTTTTTTTTCTATTTTGAGACAGAAACTTGTGAATCTCCTGCCTCAGCCTTCTGAGTAGCTGCAATTATAGGCCTGCACCACCATGTCCAATTTTTTACAATGACTTGTGAACAAAGTACTTTGCACCTACCTCCTTAGTGGGATATAATATAATGACAAAAAGGACTGCCAAGAATTTTACTTGCAAACCTTATGGCTAGTGGTAATTATTAGTATTGGAATTTCAACTGTAAATTTGACATCTTAAAAAATATATTGTTGGGGCT